AGTGTGTGTGTGTGTGTGTGTGTGTGTGTGTGTGTGTGTGTGTGTGTGTGTGTGTGTGTGTGTGTGTGTGTGTGTGTGTGTGTGTGTGTGTGTGTGTGTGTGTGTGGGAGGGGGGACGTCGTGAGAAGGGCGAGAGGTGGGGAGAACCGAGAGGTAACGCAAGCGTCGACGAACAGCATGAGAGCAAAGATAAGCAGAGGCATACAATCAACACACAAAACGATCACAGAGAGAGAGAGAGAGAGAGAGAGAGAGAGAGAGAGAGAGAGAGAGAGAGAGAGAGAGAGAGAGACGCACACACAATGGACAGAGACAGACAGACAGACAGACAGACAGACAGACAGACAGACAGACAGACAGACAGACAGACACACACACGCAAGCATATGCCCACACACCTCGGTTGGGATGAAGGTGACAAAGTCGTGTGCGGGTGCTTCGTCGAATGTGCGTTCAGGGGACGGCGGCTCGTCCTCGCTCGAACTGCGCAGGATTCCGTACGACGCGCGCCGTGACGCGGGCTCGGACCTGAAGTCGGAGGGAGGGTGCAGATCAAGTGGAACGAGGGAGAGGAGGGGGGAGAGATGGTGTCAGTGTACGATGCAACGTAAACACACACACACACACATGCGCACACACACACACGCACGCACGCACACACACACACACACACACACATGCGCATTGTATGACGACCTTGGCGGCTGCAGCGTTGTTGATTCGCGTCGTCGCCGCTCCCGTACGCGCATGAGATAATCGCGAAACGCCTTTTGGATGACGAGTGCAGCGTGAAACGCGCGCTTGCCGCACTCACGCGTCTTGCGCCGGCGCACAATGCGACGGAAGAGGGCCTGGATCTTGACAACGGCGCCGACGACGGTTGAGATGCGTTGTGACACCTCGTTCCTGAGGTGGCCGTGCATGTGCTCCATCATCAGGCGCGAGACCTCCTGCTGCATCACTTTGCTCGAGAACGCAAAGCAGTGCAGGTTCTGTGAAAAGAGATCTGGCGGGAAGTAAGACGTCGTGTACACATTTGCAGGCACCCGCTTCAACACGTGCAGTTTCACGAGCTCGTTCAGGTCCTGTTGCAACAGTGCGGCACGCAAGATACAAAGGCAAATTGCGGCGAGTGGGGGCGGGAAGGAGGGGTTGAAGGCAGTGTTGCGTGTGTGAGTGATTGTGGTGGGGTACTGAGACGAACGAGCATCGTTGTCACAAACGCAAAAACAAACACAAACGCCTGGGCGTTGGCAATGCCATGACACTGGTGCAGTGACGGAAGCAGATGCACAGAACCTAGACACAAATATAAAAGCACACATCGACATGCGGTCACACACACACACGCACACAGAGGTGCAAGCAAGTGCAAACACTGCAGGCGTACGTCGTGGAGGTTGCCCTTGTACTCGAAGCTGAGGTCCCGGCGTCTGCTCAGCTCAACCATCGTCCGCGCCATCGCCTCCGTGAAACTCCGGTGGACACACACGGCCTAAACAACGCACACACGCATTCACGTCTTAATCAGGATGAAGCAGATTCAGACAAGGGCTAGCGACGCGTGCGCGCGCGCGCACACACACACACACACAATCCCACATTACCTTGAGCAAGGCCTGGTGCGAGGGTGAGAGCTGCACAAACTCCTGATTGACAATGGCGACGATCTTGTCCGGCACACGCACATCGTGGAGGTCATCGCACTGATGACAACAGCAGCGGATGAAAACGAATGCAGGGGAGGAGGAAGACACGGGAGTTAGGAAAGCAACTCACATGCGTGAGATAATGACATACAGGCGTGGTGGATGTTCAGTAGCCTTCATGCATCACAGGCACACACACACACACACACACACAGTCACAGACACATGCACACACACACACAGGCGCACAGTCACAGGCACACAGTCACAGACACAGACACACATGCTCCCCCCCCCCAAGGCGATGCAGCAGCACCTCGATGCGTCCGTTGTCTGTGATGCGAATGGCAGGACCAGTCACCAGCGCATCGCTCTTCATGCACTCGCGCAGCGTCTCCGAGATGTGTTTGGGGATGCCTGCTGCCCGCTCGTCCAGGAAGATGACAAGCTCGGGCGGCAGGGCGGCCTGCGACACCGTCTTGTTGGACAGCTGTGACAGCACCTGCGCCGCGTACCGCAATCGCGCCATCTCAGACAGCGGTTTCAACTCCATAAACGTGTCATCGAGTGACGCATTCCTGCGCAACGCAAGTGTTGGCGTGTGTGCGAGTAAGTGAGTGAGTGAGTGAGTGAGTGCGTGAGTGAGTGTGTGTGTGTGTGTGAGTGAGTGTATGTGTGTAAGTGTGTGTACATGCGTGTGAGTTTGTGTTCGCGCGTGTGCGTGTGTGTGTATGAACGAGGACATGTGGCACGGGCATATGTGTGCCATGGGGCAGTCCAGGGCGTTTGACGCCGCAGCAGCCACCACCACCACAGCACTTCCAACAGTGCGGGTGAGTGCTTGTTTCCCATTCCCTTCCTCTCCCCATGTCACGTCCACCGTACCTCCAGATGCTCTTGATCATGGGATCCTCTATCTTGGTGAGCGGACGCGTGACGATGCACAGCACCAGCGGCGGACCGTGCGGCGATTCGTGCCGCCGTCGCAGACAGTGCTCGCTGGTTAATTTTTTGGTGTGTGTGTGTGTGTGTGTGTGTGTGTGTGTGTGTGTGTGTGTGTGTGTGTGTGTGTGTGTGTGTGTGTGTGTGTGTGTGCGCGCGCGCGTGTGGTGTGATGGCGGAGGCGAGGGGTCACGCGTTAGCAGGTGCAGGGGCGCGAGGATGACGCGATGCAACGACGCATTCACAACAAAAACACAGCGGTTTTTGAACACGCCCCACACACGTGCATATCACACAGAGGTGAGATGTGACACGAAGAGCACCGGCAGTGACGGTCATAACAGTGTGTGCACACCTGAGTTTCATTGCGAGCTGCCACGACTCTGGATCAACGTGGACCTTCAGCGCCGTGCCCGTCTGCACAGCAGGATGAGATGCAGCAGAGGTGAGAACAGTGGCAACACACGCAGGCAGTGTGGTTAACATGAGGATATGCATTGAGCGAGTAGCACGAGGTGCAGCGAAGCCATGTGTGTGTGTATTCTGCTGGTGTTGGGGGAGAGCAACTGTTGGCGGTCTCACCTGCAAGTGGAGGATGATCATGGTGGGCGTGGTCTTGGCGAACCGAACAAAGCACAAGTACATCATCTGTGGAGACGGGAATGGCAATACAAGGGAGTGGTGAGGTTAAACTATGCACAGGAGGACACACACACACACACACACACACACACAAAGAGCGAACACACACACACACACACACACAATGAACACAAACGAACACTGACAGCAAGCAGGTAAGCACACCAGAGTGTATATGCACGGCATGCGTGTACACAAACAGTTGCAGCAACAGCACCTCCAGAATTGCGTCAATGGACTCCTTGAACGTGAGCTGCTGCTGCTGCGTGGCTTCTGTATCTGCGTGTCGCACCAACAGCGGCTGTGCGTACTCCTTCGGCAGCACGTGACGCAACAGCACAAGATACTGGCCCAACCTGGCAAACAACGGAGATGCGAGGAGGGGGGGGGGTGTGTTAGCAATCGAGTGGCATGTGCGTGGGTGTGCGTGCGTGTGTGCGGTCTGTGTGCGCCTGTGTGTGCGTACGGGCATGTGTCTGAATGTGATTGCGAAAACAACACAACGCACAAGCACGTGCCTACCAACGCACGACACTGCTTCTTCAACCCATCTCTCCCCTTGCGTCTCCAATCCGTTCTTCACCTCTTCTTCTTGACGGTCGCGGCTGCCCACTCGATGCGCTGAATGACAGTGTCTCCGGCCATCTCAAGCAGCGTCGTGAACACAGGATGCCACGCTCCAAACACAACAACAGGCAGATCCTAGCAGAACAAGGCGAGGGAGGGTATAGCAAGGTGGTGAGGAGGAGGAGGAGGAAAGGAGTTGATGCAGCAAGCTAACGCACATACACATGCACGCACGCACAACACACACACACACACAACACACACGCACACGCACACGCACACACACACACACACACACACGAGTAAACATTCACGGCATGGCACCCATCGCCTGACCTTCGTGACGTCAAACACGTCATCGGGTGCGGGCCGTTTGAAGATGTTCCCGGCACTGCGCTGCCCCTTTGTCACGTGCAGCACCGACACTTTGCGCTCCTTCCCCTGCGACTGCAACGCCTTGACCAGTTGCGACTTGCCCGACCCGCGCGTCCCTGTGAGCACGAGTGTTCCGCCCTTGAGCTCAATCAGACGGTGCACCATGTCTCCCAGCCGCTCCCGTTCGTTCTCACGCCCGCTGATGTCGCTCACGACGGCCTGATGGTGGAGGTGGAAAGGGGAAGGTGGCATGGCGGTGCGGGTTTCGTTGTGTAGAGGTGAAAGTGAGCGAGCGAGTGAATGAAAATGTATCCTATGTGGTGTGCGCCTCAGCAAGCGTGTGGTCTTCCGCACCCCCCCCACCACCAGCGTGTGTTGTACCTCCGTGCGTGCCGACGCCTTGTGCGAGCGGTCTGCAAAGTACGCCGTGATGGGCTGCTCCATGCCCTTGAGTCTCAACTCCTCAATCGGTTTGAAGTCGAAGCGATCGGGCAAAATCTCTTCGCACCGCCGATGCGTCACGGGATCAACCACAACAGCAGACTCTGCACCAGCGACAGCAGCGAAAGGGGCAACGGGGAGAGACACGACAGATGAGGTCTCATGCAAGCGGATGCGCGTGCGCGTGTGTGTGAGAGAGACAAGTGGTGAATCGCGAGTGTTGGAGTACTCTGTGTGTGTGTGTGTTGAAGTACTCTGTCTCTCTCTGTCTCTCTGTCTCTGTCTCTGTCTCTCTCCCTCTCTCCGTGTGTATGTGTGATCCAAGCAGGGGTTGCGGCGTGGAATGCTCGCGATCATCTGACCTTGGGTGGTGCACATGAGGCGGGCAGCCAAGTTCACCACATCACCCATCAACTGTCAAGCAGAGGCAGCAGCAGCAGACGTAGTAATACAGGAGAGGTGAGCATGTTACGTGGTGACATGGGTATTGCGCATTGATGTTCGTGAACCAAGCAAAGCCGTCACCGCTCATCATTACAAGAAAGCATTCAAATAATAACCACAACCACAGCACGAGAACGCCAACCACGGGTACCATCACCACTATCACCATCACCACCACCATCACGACTGTGTGCCCCGTCAGAGTCGCACCGTGTATTCGCGCCTGAGCTTTGAGCCGACGACGCCGCAAAACGCCCTGCCAGTGCTAACGCCGATGGTAGCGTGGATGGGCACGCCAACCTTCTCCGACAGCAGTGCAATGTTGTCTCGGAGGTCGACGGCGGCCTCCACCGCGCGCACGGGATCGTCAAAGTGCGGCATGGGCGGCAATCCCATTGCACACAGCACCAGCAGGCCCTGTGAAAGCAGGGACAAGGGAGAATGGAGAATGGAGAGGCAGGGGGGTTTGGACAAGGTGTGTAGTGTGTGTCAGGCGTGAGCGAGTGAGTGTGTGAGTGTGTGAGTGTGTACATGTGTGTGCGTGTGTGTGCATGAGTGTGTGCATGAGAGTGTGTGTGCGTGCAGAGTCAGTGAAAGCTCGATGTGCATGGAAGCATATTTGTCCATGCACAGCATCATCATCATGATCGTCATCATGATCAGCACCAGCGACAGACCTTGTCGTCGACCATGAGCTTGTTGATGCTTCCTTCCCACGTGTACACATTTCGCTGGATCTCAAGCATCAGCGTCTGAGAATTCTTGATCACCTGTTAAAATGCAAAAGGGAGGAGGGTAAGGGGACATGTGAGAAGCAAGTTGTGGTCCCTCGTGGATGGTATGTTGAGGTGTCAACCGAAGCCAGAATGACACACACAGACACACAGACACACAGACACACAGACACACACGCACACACACACACACACACACACACACACACACACACACACACACACACACACACACACACACACACACACACAA